GCTCATAAAATAAAGTGTACCAAGCAAGGCTCCTCCATTGCTGGGGTGGGCAGGGAATATACTCAAATCATCTCTGAATTGGTGCTGACACTGTCCTTCCTTCTGGAGTGTGGCTACTTATGTTCCCCATGGTCTGTGTGTGTGTTGTAAAGTAGCTGCCAAACTTGCTTCCATGATGGACTACAATCTCAGTACCCAAATTAGTAAAGTAAACATGTGATTGTAGTCTATCACGGGAGCGAGTCTGGAGCAGTGGCTACTTTACAACGCACACAGGGACCATGGGGAACAATAGTAGTCACCCTCCGGAAGGAAGGACAGTATCATCACCTATTCAGAGATGATTTGAGGCTCTACAGCCGAGTGAAACACAAATAAGATACATTTTTGTTATTAGTTAAGCTACTTGAATGCATTTTTAAGATTTAACTCCTGAGTTTCGTGTCACTTTAAATAGTCTTCACCCCACATTAAAGCAAGATCATTGAACTGTATCTAAATCCAAGAAAAAATATTATATTGCTGTTTACCAGTCATTATATGTGGTAGCTGAATCCATTTTCTTTATTTCCATTTTGTTCATGCCGATTCCGCCAGTTAACATACTTCCTTTGCAAGGGTGTCAATGCTTACTCACTGTACTGTATCTATAGAGGAACAGCATTGTCAGCCTAGCATAGAACTGCAACGTCAAAGCAAAAAAAGCGCCAAGGGCAATCACTCCTCAATGGGATATAGTCATGGGCATGCTGCAGGATGCTGCACCAATACAGCCAGGGGAACTGTGAAATCTGGAAAGTAAGCACAAAGGAGGACGCCTTTCCTGGTGCAGACACATTTTATTCAAATGGTCATAGTTTTGAGATGGCAGGCAAGTGGACATCAGCAGAGCGGTTCCTATGTGCGGTTATCGTTGACGCGTTTCTGGGGCACGCCCCCTTCATCAGAACATAGAGTCACCTTCCTCATCCTATACTAAAAGGTATACCTACTACGTTTTTCCAGCAATAGCTGTCTGTGACATCTTTTTGTTGTCATCGGGCTCGGTTCCACCAGCCCGTCCGGTTTTTGGGTGCTGTGATTGAACGGAGCGGCGGTGACACCCAGTAGGTGGAGCCCAATATGGTCCAGCTCCCATTGGTTGGCCGCCTTGCTCCGCCCATTAGAGTTTCCCTAGACGGAGACCGTCCACAGCTTTGGTAATCGGCATTATGACGAGCCGCTGAGACTCGTCCTTGATTGGCCAGGTATTCCTTTTATTATAGGATGAGGAAGGTGACGCTATGTTCTGATGAAGGGGGCGTGCCCCGGAACCGCGTCAACGATAACCGCACATAGGAACCGCTCTGCTGATGTCCACTTGCCTGCCATCGATCCATTCTTCCATGGCTTTTATTCATTTATGTTTGTGAGTACCTTTTTTATTGCTATGACCATTTGAATAAAATGTATCTGCACCAGGAAAGGCGCCCTCTTTTGTGCTTACTTTCTAGCATAGAACTGCATTAGGACTATAGAACCCCTCACAATCTGCTCATCTCCATATCATATTATGTTCTAATTTTTTTTTTTTGTCCGTTTGCTTGAGAGCTGGATAATGGGGAGTTTACTGTACTTTCTCTCCCATGTTACACAAAGATGCAGCAAATAACATTTGATAGGAAACTTATTGAGGTTTTTTACCTGAGAACCTTCAACCGATTTTTTTAAAAGGCTATGCAACCTTGTACTTGACAAGTGTCATGTTAATTTACTGATGTGATGTAAATATGGGGCTCTATTGGGTAATGAAAGTTTCATAAAGGTTACTGTTCACATGGGTATGCTTTTCTTTTTCTCTTGTAAGACATTTACATTATTGATGCTTTCTAATGGATGCCTTGTACTCATCAATCTAATAAATAACATTAGCTTTACAGCTTGCTATGAACATTCTAATAATATGAAAAACATACAAATTGTCTTCATTTAATGTTGAAATAAATAAGTCATGATATAGGAATTGATTTGTCAGCTGTAAATCATGCTGTTCAGAAATAATTAAACTACTTCAAACTAGTACAACAAACGCATAGTAATATCAACTTAAGTGGGCCATACATGCAACTATAATGCAATCACCCCAAGGTTTTTTTTTTTACAAATTGTCATATAAGCATACATGTATGTTTATGCATATGGAGGTAGAAGCAAACCCAGACATCTTCAACCAAAATATCTCTGCCCAGGACGTCTGGCACTGTGTGCTTGTACCCACAGATGTGATAACCTTTGCCTGACCAGGTTAATGTAGTTTCACAAGATATTAGAATATTTCTTAGCAGGTAAACCTGCTAAAAAGGTGTTAAAACCTACCAAAAACATGAATCTCCGTGTTAATCATATTTATTCTCTATTGTTATAAGACCTAAATTTATGAACAAAAGGGTCAGTCCACCCAAAAGTCAAAGTTTTCCAAAAACATTAGAAACGAAGACTAAGAACAATAAGAAAAGTTATTTAGCAGTGGCCGGCCAGCAGATCCAAGAGTTATACCGGTATTATATAGTTATAGGTGGAACCTGGTGGGCTGCCAACCGCTGGCTTCTTATATGTCTTGGATACTCTAACAGTGAGATCTCCCTGCCATAATACCAGACTTTGTTTTTGTCCCTCTTCGACAATCCAATAGGGCATGTGAGAACCCCTCATATTGTCCTTAGTAGATGTACAGACCCAGAAAATCAAATGTAGAGTGCACAAATGCAGCCCATGGGTGGTATAACTCTACAACATCTACCAAAAACAGATATATTTGTGGACTGGCCCTTCAAGCCAAGAATAGGTTAAACAGGATTTTTTAGTTATTTCCAATAGCATTCTAGTAGCATTTATCTGATTACAATAGGCTCTT